CGTCGTCTCTTGAGTGTTTCTCGAGAAGAGAACAATGTCGTCCGCAAAACGAAGGTCCGAGAGGAATCTCCCATCAACTCGTATACCCCTCTCGTTCCAATCCAATAATTTCATCACCCACTGCAAGGCCGCAGTAAACAGCTTTGGCGACGCGATGTCGCCTCGTCGAACCCTCTTCGAAAGTGTATGTTGACGGGTCGATGGAAAAGCTGTACCTTTGTAGAGTTCTTGTAGTAGTCGGCCAGTATCCTCAGGTAAGATGGGCCCACCTCTTGGTCGACGAAGGCTGACAGTATGGTGTAAGTCTCGACGCTGTCAGAAGCTTTCTTATAGTCGACGAAAGTTAGAATAGGCGGTACTCTAGGCAAACCTCATATGCTCGAAACTGTCTGGATGTGATCTTCGCAGCTGAATCCCAACCCAGCTGTTAACAGGTTGGGCTTCATCCAGTGTCCTTGAAATGCGAGCGAGAATGTTTTTTGTGAAGAGCTTGTAAAGCACGCTCAGCAAGCATACTGGACGGTTGTTTCAATGATCCTCCGTATCGCCCTTATGAGGAAGGATTGTTTGGGAGGTTCTTCATTGGTTGGGTATCTTTTCCTTTTGACAATAAGACATTAGGTTCCGCAAGTATCTCATGTAAGCGATGTTCTCCAGCTCGTAAGAGGTCGGCTGGAACGTGGCCCGGTCCCGGAGGCGTGGTCGCCTCTATGGTCTGGATAGCGGAATTTCAACAGGTAGAATTCGTGGTGGGGGGACGGGGTTTAACATGGGTGTTGAAGAGCGGAAGAAATGTGTTCGTGATCGAATTTGCGAGTCCCGTCTTCGTTTAGTGATGTAGTCAGCGGAACACGGTAGTCGAGAAGGTACCTGCAGTACTTCTTCAAACTTCCCCTTCCTTGTGCTGCTTCCAAGAGTTTTGATTGCCACTTTCAAAGATCTTCTTGTAATGCTGTTGACTGATTTTGGTTGCCAGTCGCTGGAGATGTGATGCAGTCGGATCCAACCTCAGTGCTCTTTTCCTCTTTAGCAGATCCTTGGTGGCCTTCGGAGTTTGTCGCAATTTCCTTGTTCGAGGTATTAAGGTACTTTCACCACAGGCCCACAGTCCACTGAGGAGCAGATCGTAGTTATTCGTTGGGTTCTCCTCGATGGGCCAGTCACAAATGGTCAGGAGCTCCTCTAATCTGACGCTATCATATAAGACTTCTCTCCTTCCTCCAACACGGTGGCGCATTTTTGCTCGAAGGAGGCGGTGATCTGAACCGCTGCTGAAGGAGGTATCACCGGGAGTTTATTAAGCACCACCTTCGGTTGGTGAAAATGTGGTCGGTTCCCGCATGAGTCAAACCTTTGACTGACTCCCATGTCCACCGTCGGTGTTCTTTCTCCATGAAAATGGAGTTGCCATGAAAAAGTCGTGCGACGGATAAGAGCTCAACAAGACGGTTACCATTCTCATTCCGAAGTCCTGATCCAAATCCCGATCCTGTGCTCCTCTTCTTCTGGCATTCCGATTTTCGCATTAAAGTCACCCACGCGAACTTATAAAAGGAGTTTTCTTTGTGGATGACTTCCTCCAAATCCTCATAAAAAGCATCAACTTTCGAATCATCAGCTGCTGTGTTGGAGAATGGCAGCTGATGATAGCAATGATTTTTTGATGCAGAGGACGGAGTCAAAGGATAGCCAGGCGAGGTGATAGCAGACCTCTGCGGCAGGTCTCCGGAGGGCAAGCTGGAATTCGTTGTTGTGAAAAAAGTAAAGTGGAAATAGTATGGGGTCCGGAGAGGAGCCTGCAGTTTAATCTCAATTATAGCCATTTTCTCCACAACAAGAATGAGCTAACCGACATCCCGTTTTAGTCCGAGTGTTCCTGTTTTCAGCCGCTAGAACA